CACTACTTGTGAAATGCGTAGGAGGTTTGGCGAGGGGTTTAAAGTCATTATGCCCGTGCATTATGCAGGATTAGCAGCATCAAAGGGAGGGAGTAAGGTCAGAATTAATAATATACAGCATTGATATTGGGCGTGGAGCCTACAAGCGCAACCTTGCGCATTTTGACCTGGTTCTCGACGCCCGTCCCGCGCCCATGGTGAAATCTTGTGCATTTCGGGGCGTCAAGGGCTCGCACCACAGCCTTGAAGGATTAGGCAGGTCCCTGACTTCTTTTGAAGAATATGACCAGGCTCCAGGCACCGGTACCTCGAACGTGGCGGATCCGTGAGGCACCCCGGGCATCAGGGGCTCAGAAACTGTGGGCGCCACAACACATTTCCTTTGGAAATACGGTTTCTGTTGCCGAGCGCGCCACCACGTCGGACACACCAGACTTGGGCTGTACAGGACATGGGGATGAGCTGTCTGGGTGGGGACGGACATAAGTCTTGAGGCGGGATGGGTGGACGAACCAACGGCGACGCCCTATCTGTATTCATACACACTGCAGCCGTTTCACCTCTATGACTTCAGCTGTATCATTATAAACGATATCACTCAACATTAAATGACTATAAACTGGTTTTCTAATTCATTACACCATAAACGGAGGTACGGTATTCAAATCTCATTAGAAGTATTATAATCGCACTCTGCTCATATGTATGTAAAGCGAACGTTCCATCGAACCGGGGGTTGGATATGCAAACTGGGGTGGGGTGCAGGGTTAGAATCGAATTCAAATTCCTAGAATAATAATATTGTCGTATTAGCATTTTACTGTGCTTGACTGTATGTTAAGTGTAAATGCAAATTGTTAGTCGTAAATGCGAGGCAGAGGTTAAGAGGTGCATGTGTAATCCAGTGTTAACGTTTATTTTAGCATCAAATTTAAGGACAATATTGGAAATAAAAGTTCGTCTGCACGTGCCTTGTTCGTCTCGATCAACCAAAATTAGTACAATGTCGGTCATAAAGGAGTACGAGTTCTTTCATGAATAGTATTCGCTGAGCCCCCAGATACTAACCTACACACAGTCATGGTTAAACAAAGTAACGTTTAGTCACTTAATTCTCAGCTCAGACATGATCATCGCAATCATTTCCAAAGATTTGTGGGGTCCCGCGAGAGCAGGGCCTGGCTACAAATAGTCGAGCAGCAGAAACAGCAGAATCAGAAGTAGTTGCGTCACCCTCAAAATGTGTTGTTGCTGCTGCTGTTATTGTTGCTGCTGTAGTTACTTCTGTTGCTGTTATGTATTGGGTGGTGGCTCATTTACTCATCACCACCCATAATCATCAGCATCAACACCCATTATCATCACCAATCATCATTATCACTATCAACTCACCATCACCAACCATCGTCACCACCACCACCACCCAACCATCACAACCAACATTCATCATAACCACCACCAATCATCCATCATCATCAACACCCATAATCACAACAACCCATCATCATCACCACCCATCATCATAACCTCACCAATCATTACCACCACCCATGATCATTACTACCACCCATCATAATCACTACACATTATCATCACCAACCATCATCATTACCACCCTTCATAATCACCACCCATCATCATCACCACCATCCATTATCAAGAAACAGCATCATCACCACCCATCATAAATTAACAAATACACACAGCTACAAACATAGATATGTAACCTGACACAGACATAGATAACAGACACACACAAATAAACAATCTCATTAACAACTTAATCATAAAAAGCCCATATTACCACTGCCAGGATAGGTGCACACAGACAAATCCTTTACACAATAATAATTTACATGGAACTCAAATTCACACTTAGTACAACCACCTCACTCACTTAAATATAACTACAGACCAAAAACTCTTAATAAAAAACCTGAATTTAAAAGTAAATAAACCAATGGGATGGTGTTTATACGCTTGAAATGTAATTAATGAAATGCAAGTTAATAATTCCTATTAAACAAAAAATAACTACGAAACAGTATGAAGCCTGAGGCCTAGGTATATGCCAGGCCTGATGGCCAGGCATCGCTTCAGTCCTCGCCGCAGTAACGGCGACATCAAAGACAGCACAAAGCGAGGGGGCAAATGTTTAATGTCGAACCGAGGGCTCTGCTGTTTCCGGTGACGCACACCACCCGCACTGCACCACGTGGTGCGCCCGCCAAGCGCGTGGGGGCGGAGCCTCGCTGTAGTGACGTCACCTCTGTTACGTCATAGCCACGCCTCCACCCGCAGTCGAGAGGAATGCACACGAGTGAGCAGCAGCAGAAGAAGCCTTTGCAGAGCGAATCGTCAACGAGGTGAGCGTCCCTGTTGACGATGTGTGTTGTTTATTTTTATTGCACGTTTTGACTACAAACTAAAGCTTCATTATTTTTGTGTATGTTGCTATTTGGATTTTCTGCAACCAAATTAGGACTATTAGTTAGATTACTTGGCATGCTCTGATATGTTGTTGTTACTGTCATTGTTTAGACCCAAAGCAAGTTAACATTTAAAACGTTCATAACTAACCTGTTTAAATCTCATGTAATATGATTAACATGTCTATAATTATTGTGTTCTGATTGCCTGCATAATTGTGCCCTGCATTGCATGTATTGAATGTTATCCAACACGGGGGAGGAGTCTGCCTTTTAGTTCAGAACCGAGCTGCTGCCATAGACGTCTCCTATCTGTGATGTCACAGCCACATGGGCGGTACCTCTGACATCAAGTGACCTACGACGTCATTCTCGGGTTATAACAAATGATTTAAGTATGGTCATTTGACCCCAATGACCTACAAGACATAGGGGGGCCTTTATCAAACAGTCGATTAATACAAATGGGCTGTGCATCAACATGCTTGTCTGGATTAGAGGTTAAACATCACGGTTTTGTCTGGCGATTATGTTTAATGCAATAGGCAGTTGGAATAAACATGTTCGCGTGGGTGGATGAGTGAGTGATCTGACGCACGCGTGAGTGGGCAAACAAGCGAGTGAGTGGACTTGTAAAACAAACGGCACGAAAGTGATTTGATTGGTACAGCGAGTGATCAAATTTGTAATAATTGAGAGGATGAGTGATTCAAAAGGCTGATAAATCTGAGCGTTTTTACAACCTCCCCAGGCCCTCCAACATCAAACAGAAACTATTCCTTCCCAACAACATGGACAGACAACGCAAGTGGGCTGAGATCTTGGAGGACTATGATGGTAAGTCCCAAATACCTTATGCTCTCATACTCTGATGGTGCATTGTCTTTGAGTTGTGCGCCTTTTGGCATCATCTGGTCCAACCCATGTGAGACTAGGCTCTAAGGAAAGCTGTCTCGGGTGTGGACCAATCAACTTCAAGGACAGTGCACATTATCAGAGTTATGTCTTTTGTTTGTATTATGACTGCAGGTATTGTGGTCTATGCAAACATGACTCCTTGTAAAAAGGTGTCAGTTGTGTTGCCAGATAGAAGGGTAAAAAAACAATTATCCCAAATACCTGCAGCACGTGGTTTTTATGCAGAGGAGGCAGCTCCCTGATTAATTATTTTTAGTGGACGTGGCTTGGTGGTGATGGGAAGAGGTAAACGGTCAAGGGTGGCAGACAACATGGATTTAGAGCTGCGTTTCAGCCATATTGGTTTAATTTGGGGTCTCAACTTTATGAAATTGATGATCTCAACATGCTTACAAAAATATTACTTGTAATGTTTTACTGCCATGTGACTAATGTTTCTCAACAGCAGGTCATGTTATGTGTTAAGAGGTAATTACAAGAATATCAGAATTAGTTGTGTGAATATCCACGTGCTTCGTTCTCTAATACATGACTCGTCCTTTGAATTAATTTTGTTTTCCGTAGCCCGGGAGTCATGGCGCCAGTCGACCACGTGGGGGGACATTATGGATGAAGTGGACCCTTTCCCAGGCCAAAGCTATGAAAATCGTTCCCCAAAGGTGTGTATGGGGTCTATGGGAGTCAAACACCACATTCTCTCCACACTCCCACACCATTGCACCAAAACATTGCTAAACCTCACATCACCACACCATCTCTTCACATCACCTTTCTCATCACACCACACCACCACCAACTCAATACAATATACTCTTAGGTTTTTTCGGTAAAGTCACGTATGTGACTCTTTCTTAGGTTTTTTCGGTAAAGTCACATACGTGAGTATGAATGCTTGCAGTCACGAAAGCTTCAAATCGAGAATCAATACAATATCATAGAGCCTCATAAAGCGTCAATACCATCACAAGGCACCGTCTCTCCAGAACATTCCACAATTTCACCTCTCCGTATCACAACACCATCTCCCAACACCATCACTCCATCTCTCCACCATCACGTCATGCCATATCCCACTCGTGCAGGCAAATGAAGTCGCCATTCATTACCAATGAAGACAGAATGATATCAGGCAATCTCTTGAATTATGTCTGTGAGCTGATTGGAAGTTGCCATTCCAGTTACCCATTATGGGTGCTGCAATAAAATGTGTCCAGATTATGGGCATCCAGATCTTTACAATAGAACATTCTATGGAAACTATTGCCCGTGATGATTGTTGCCAACAATCGCCATGAAATCGTTGTAGACTATCACTGCATTAAGTGCGTGTATTGAATTTGTGAGAATATGAGGATGTAACATGTATTTTGATAACATTAGGTGATGGTGTATATTCATACGTGTGCTAGCATGTTTGCATGAGTTAATGTGCATTCTTGCATCCGTACATAGATGTGCCAGTATGCATTTTTGTTTGTCTATGTGTCCGTCCATGTTTGTGTGCCTGCGAGAATGGATTTTGTCCTGAGTGTGCATGTCTGAATGGGTATGTGCTTATCTTCGCGTGAACAGAGGAGCATTGGGGAGGTGAAGAACTTCAGCGGAGTGAAGCGTCTCCAGGAGGACAAGCGCCTTGCGAAGGAGAAATGCACAATGGAAGAGAAGCGCCCCAACGAGGTGAAGCACCTCGCCAAGTTGAAGCACCAAACGGAGCAGAAGTGCCTTCGAAACAATATCCTCAACGACGTGAAACGCGTCATGGAAAAGCGCCTCCTTGAAGAAACGCGCTTCATGGAGGAGAAGCGCCTTCGCGAGGTGAAGCGTCTCAAGGAGAAGCATCTGGAGGAAGAGAAGCGCCTCATAGATGTGAAGCGGGTCGAGGAAGAGAAGCGCCTCATGGAGGAGAATCGCCTCTTTGAGGTGAAGCGTCTCATAGAGCTGAAGCGTCTCGAGAAGAAGAAGAAGCGACTTGAGGAGAGGCGCTTTCGCAAGGTGAAGCTCCTCGAGGAGAAACGTCTCATGCAGGAGAAGCGCCTCGCTGAGGTGAAGCGTCAAGAGGAGGAGGAGCACTTGATGGAGGAGAAGCGTCTTGTGGAGCAAAAGCGCCTCGAGGAGGAGCAGCGCCTCGCCAAGATCGAGCGACAATGGCTCCAGACCGATACCACCACCAGCAGCACCACTACCACTGACACCACCGCCACCACCACCACCGCCACCACGTCCTCCAATCCTGTGTGGGGCCCAATAGCTCCGAGCTTTGGAGAAGAGGGCTTCCAAGAAGATAAAGCAAACTCCGGAGTCGCTGAGCCACGGTAAACCACTCTGCGTGTGCGCCCTGTGTGTTTATTTTTGTTATTTATTGCCATGCTTCTCACGCAGCATTAGCCTTATTCGGTCTCGAGACTTTTTTTCAGGAGGATCCTGCCAAGTTTGCTCGCATTTTGCAAGAAGGTTTCTACTATTTGCGATCCAAATTGAAGGATTTGCATTGCTTGTTTGGGTTCAGTAACAGGGAGAAAGCTGCAGAACCTTCCCAGAACAGCTGGCTGCATAATCCACACGGAGCATGTGGCCAAACGTGGAAATCAAACCCAGGTCAATGTTGCTGTGACGCACAGGTGCTCAAGCCCTGTCGCGCTCTCAAAATTCACAGACACTGCAAACTCCACGTGTACATTCCGCTATTCTGTGGACAGATTTATTTTTCATAATTGGTTTCTGGGTTAGACCACATAACGAAGTGGGCATATCTTCACCAAGTAACCCTCCATCCACCGTGAGATTTTCGCTCTCTATCGCCTGTTTCCAGGCCAGCTGCCAATTCGACTTGTAATGCACAGCGACAGCTACAACTAAGAGGGGTGTCCAATTTAAAACGCGATGAGATGAGAGATGCGAGAGGCTCATCGCATGCAATGCACTCTGAGATGTCTTCGACGTCAAGGGAGGTGGCTCTCTCGACCACAAATCACTGACGGACACTTTTTTTAAATCGTGGATGTGTTGAAGCGACCAAATTTTCGTGCACTCATTCTTCACCATTACAGTTCAGATCTTGCTTCCCGCCCTGGCTATTATTGCTGCTGCATTGACCACACAGATCCACACCCATTCCGTCACAGTGGACGTTCAGGATCTCTATCGATGCCATTTGAAATGCTTAGGACATTATGTGCAAGGGGTCAATTAGAATATACATATAGAATATGTTCAATCTAGATTTGAAGTTTTAGTGACTACAGGGATCCATATTCTTTGGTTATATCGGTAAATTCACGTAGGTATGAAATAAAATAAATTAAATTAAATCACGACGTTTCGATGGCCATGTCGTTATTGCAAGAACGTTTCTTGCTGTGGTTTTCCCACCTGATGATGATTGCTTGTGTTACAATCGAAACGTTGTGATTTAATTTATTTTATTTTATACCTACATGACTTTACCGAAAGAACCAAAAAATGTCACTTCAAATTATTCAGCTAAATTTGCACAGCAACGCCACCCACTACTGTGATACTACAGCAGTCTGTGTGGGACACAGCTGCACCTATCTCAAGGAGAGCCTGGCGCCATGAGAATGATAGCACCAATACTAAGCACACTCACTGGCCATGTCGTTATTGCTGTTTCTATTCAGCTGGAATTAATCCGCCACACATTCCACCCACGGACGATGGGGAGATGGCGATGTCTGCCGTAGCAGCAAGGTGGAACGGTGTCGTGTTTGACAGACAACCATCAGTTTTACCATGTCTAGTGGTGGTCTCCCTGTTACAGGTTGAGTCACAAACCGCACCTCTCCATAACAAAGGCTCAGCCTTTGATATGCAGTCTATTCTTAGTCTTAAGCCTCACCTTACCATATTAATAAAAGTATGCGGCCCTTGCCCCACCACCTTCTCCAACCATTATATAAACGAAGTGGTAGCTTCTGCAATCTCTCATTTACCTGATACAGCTGTCGTGGCTGTGACGGTTCCACCTGAAGACGGAAGCTTGTGTTGCCTCCGAAACGTCGTGATTTTTATTTTTTATGTTATTTTATTTTACTTTTTAATGTTTTTTTTCCTACGTGACTTTACCGAAAAAACCTAAGAATATGAATCATTGCAGTCACGAAAGCTTCAAATCTAGAACGGTGTCGTGTTGTCTCTTCACAGATCTGAGCCAGCTCAGCCCTCCTCCTCACTCGTCCAGGCCTTTGAAGCGAAGACAGAGGTTGTGGAGAAGGAGACGAAGGAAGAGGTGAAGGAGATGGAGGATGAAGTAGAGACGGAGGAAGAGAAGGCAAAGGAGGACGAGATTGTGATGGTGACAATGGAGGAGAACACGGAGGGAGAGGAGAAAGACAATACGGAGATGGAGGACAAGGAGACAACAAAGGATGAACAGATGGTCGTGGTGGAGGACATAGAGACGACGGACAAAGGGGAAACAATGGTGGTGGAGGAGGAAGAGAAGACGGTGGTGGAGATGGTGGTGCCGGAAGGTGAGGAGGAGATGAAGGAGGAAGAGATGGTGCTAGCGGAGGAGAAGAAGATGGAGAAGATGGAGGTGGCGCAGGAAGAGGAGGAGGTAGAGGAGATGGTGGTGGAGGATGAAGAAGAGGAGATGGAGGAGGATGAGACGGAGGAGAAAACGGAAGAGGTGCAGGTGGAGATGCACGAAAAGAAGAGGAAGCGAGGGGGCCTCGCTCGCGTGGCGAGAGCGATCGCCTCACTCCTCCGCCGCGTGCTGCTTTGTGGTGGCAGGTCCACCGCCCAGTAGGGGTGGTGGCGGTGGTCGTGCATCGGTGCCAACCGTGACCACTATCACCACACTACCCGCCCACCCCGTGATACTCGCTACACACACCACACGGGTCCCCAGAGAGACGGTGCAACGTTCAGGTCCAGAATACGAAGTATACCGGGAATCACCTGTACTTAAAAACACGTAAATTGATAACACTATAAACAATAACACTAAACATTAAACGACAAAAAAAGCTACCAACTGGTTTTATAATTTATACCACCATAAACGGAGGTACGGTATTTTAATTTCATTAGAAGTATTATAATGGAACTCTACACATGTTTGTTAATTGTCCGTTCAATCGAACCGACGGTCGGATATGTGAACTGTGGGGGTCGAGGGTAAGAATGGCATTCAAATTTTAGAATGACAATTTGGTCGTTTTAGCAGATTACTGTACTTGAATGTATGTTATGTGCAAATGCAAGGTGTTAGTCGTAAATGCGAGGGAGGGGTTAAGAGGTGCACGTTTAATCCAGTGTTAACATTTATTTTAGCATCATATTTAAGGACACTGTTGTTGATAAGAATTCGTCTGGACATGTTATGTGCCTTGTTCTACTCGATCAACCAAAATTAGTACAATGTCGGTCATACAGGAGTGTGATTTCATTCATGAGTAGTATTCACAGAGCCCCGATGACACTAATCTACCTAAAGTTATGGTTAAAAAAGTAATCTTGAGTGACTTAATTCTGAGCTCAGACATGATCATCGCAATCATTTCCAAAGACGTGTGGGGTCCTGCGAGAGCAGGTCCCGACTACAAACAGCTGGGCAGCAGAATCGGAAGTAGCTGCGTTGCCCTCGAAATGTGATGTTGCTGCTGTTGTTGCTGCTGTAGTTGCTTCTGTTGCTGTAATAAACGCAGGGAGGTGGTGTTCCGTGATGGGATGACGCCTTTGATTAAAGCCTCTGTTCAAACTCACCCGATTGACGCCCTTGATCGTCGCATTTTATCAACTCTGATATTGTAGACTCTCACATGTTAAGCTCTATCATAGTGAAACATAATATTAAAACCTATGTACTACAACCTATCCATTGTAACGCTGTAAAAGAATATTACCTATTGGGTTTCACTCCCTCGTCGAGGAGGCCGCTCTCTTCCTTTTCTAAAGTTACATGCTAATTTCTCTGCATTCACTTTAAATCGAGGACAAAGTTTTTCCATTTATTCAAAATAAGCGCACAATTACACACTGAGATGCACTTACATATTCATGCATGAAGCACAAAGGGCACATTACTCTTCGGTATGTTAATAGACATGCGGATTGTACCTTCCAATATTAACAATCGAATGCAAATATCCTGAAAGACAAAGGATTGGATCCTAGGGGGGGAGTTATAAGGCGGCTCAGAAGCAGAGCTCAATGCCATTTCGAGAGGGAACTTGATGAGGTTGGACGCTCGACTCGTCGCTCTGCTGATCGCCCCTCAACCGCGGGACAACGCAGCCTGGCGAGCACAATTGCTGTGTCGACAGTTAGGCGACTTTGCGTCGGGAGAGTTCGTGGCGACATCTTCAGACGGGTTCCAGACATCGAATTACCGTGAAGCTCCAAGTAAGTGTCTATTTTCGCGGATAAACTCTTAAACGTGTTCGTCGTCAAATTAGCGGGATTTTTTTGCGTCTCGGTTCGACGCGAGTGTCGTTCTTGTTTTAGCAGTTAACGAAATCCAAAACTCAACGCTAAACATCCTTGCGGCCGATAGCGTACTTTTGACTCGATAACACGCTGCTGTTATAATTGGTTCTTTACCCTTCTATCTGGAAACAAAACTGACACCTTTTTGCAAGGAGTCATGTTTGCATAGACCGCAATACCTGCAGTCATAATACAAACAAAATAACATAACTCTGATAATGTACTGTAGGACAGTGCACATTATCAGAGTTATGTTCTTTTGTTTGTATTATGACTGCAGGTATTGCGGTCTATGC